TAATTATTAAATTCAATGTATTTTTCTCTTTATCCTTAACTGGACAAAAAATCTATTTGTTGCTTTCTTGTTATATTCAGTAATGTTGCTTTTATGTATGCTTTTTCTTTATCTTTTTTTTTCTCGTTTGAAAAAAAAATATTTAAAAAGCTCAGGAAATTTTTTTTTTATAAATTCTTAGTAATTTTTTATGATAATGTTATCATCTTTGAGCAAAGATATTGATTAACGTGATTAACTATTATTCAACAGATCTAATTTATTGTATTTAATTTCTAGTTAAAGAAAGACATAGACTTCTCAACTAAATTAAAAAGACAAGAGTTGTATAATTTGTATCCTGGAGCTGATCCAACTGCTTTGGATGAAATATTTGAGTCTAACAAGTAAGTTGACTAGTGGTGCAAAATATGTTTGTAAGTTAAATCAATAAAATTTCAAAATAAAACTTGATAAAAAAATACAATAATAGATAAAATACAATTTAAAAATAAAATACAATACAATAAAATTTTATACTTTTAAATTTTAACTATGTTTTGGTTTCAATTTTTTTGATAAAATATATTAAATCTCTTTACTTATCATCATTTTCTATTTTATATTAGAAACGAACCTTGTAATTTTGAGAAATGCATAAAAAAGATTGCTTTACATTGCTAATATCAGCAGTTTTTTTAATCGTTTAAAATATTCAATTTTTGAAAAAGTGGCCTCATGTTTTGAAAAGTAACTACTGTCAAAAATGATACAACTTGCCAGTTGCAAAATTTCCTAATTGTGCTTATGTCATTAGTTTTAAATGCTTTGCATTTTTATTGTTTTGCTCTGTATTTTACAATAATTTTACTAAGATAACTATCTATTACGTCACCGTATATATTATGCCTAATAAAAAAAACTTAATTGATTTTTCATCTCTATTTAAATTGCTAGACTAATGGCCATGTTGTCATTTCAGCTACTCTATAGCGAATAGTATAAAGGCATTGGGTGAAGAACTGGGAGAACAGAAGATGGTGATACAAGAAAGTGTAATGGTAAACTACAAGAAACCTGTTGCACCTGCCCAGAAACAGGAAAATATCTTCAATGATTTCGTAAGTTGCGTGAATTTGCATTTTCTAAAATCAGGGTTTTTACGGACTCAAAATCCTTAAAGAGTTAACGACTCTAGCAGCGTAAAAAGTAAAGCTTATTTTGGAATTTTTTGTTTTTGTTGCTTATCTTCCACCTGCTCAGACTCCCTCTGACTAGATCTAAGAATTCATCGGCATTTGAAAGAAATCATGTACAAGAAGAGAAGATAAATGAATTTCTTCCCATATAGGTCCCAAACAGTCCAATATATATTCAGATTAAACCTGGTGTTGGTGGTACTTGGGGCAAAGTGGGTATGCTTTTATGCCATCAGAAAAACATTAACTCTTTATATGGCTGCTGGTGAGACGCGAGATGGTGGTACTTGGGGGGAAGTGGGTTCGCTTTAAACCCTCAGAAAAACATAAACTCTTTATATGGCCGCTGGTGAGGCGCAAGATGGTGGTACTTGGGGGGAAGTGGGTAGGCTTTTATACCCTCAGAGAAACATAAACTCTTTATATGGCCGCTGGTGAGACGCGAGATGGTGGTACTTGGGGGGAAGTGGGTAGGTTTTTATACCCTCAGAGAAACATTAACTCTTTACATGGCCGCTGGTGAGGCCCAAGATGGTGGTACGTGGGGGAAAGTGGGTAGGCTTTTATACCCTCAGAGAAACACTAACTCTTTACATGGCCGCTGGTGAGGCGCAAGATGGTGGTACTTGGGGGAAAGTGGGTAGGCTTTTATACCCTCAGAGAAACATTAACTCTTTACATGGCCGCTGGTGAGGCGCAAGATGGTGGTACGTGGGGGAAAGTGGGTAGGCTTTTTAAACCCTCAGAGAAACATTAACTCTTTACATGGCCGCTGGTGAGGCGCAAGATGGTGGTACTTGGGGGAAAGTGGGTAGGCTTTTATACCCTCAGAAAAACACTAACTCTTTACATGGCCGCTGGTGAGGCGCGAGATGGTGGTACTTGGGACAAAGTGGGTTTGCTTTTATACCCTCAGAAAAACGTGAACTCTTTTAAGTGGTCACTGGAGAGGCTCGAGATGGTGGTACAGATTTCTCTGTTATGAAAAAAGATCATGGCTTGACCTGGCCTACTACCCTGATACTGATGGTAAGTAGGAGGTATCAACCAATTCTTCTTAATTTGAATTCGAAATAAAACTATTTCTTTTTAACTCAAATAGTATGATGGGCATAATCTTAACTTACCCTACTATTTCTTTCTTTTTTTTATGCTTATAATTTTTATGAGCTAATTTTGTAAACTTTTCCACACATTTGAGTCATTTCACAGATAAATTATGAGAGAAATCGAAAATAGTGTTTTGTATTTTTCATTTTCTAACACTTTCTCACTTTATAGAAATATAGGGATTTGTCATGAATCTCTATCTCACCCTGTTGATGGCCAAGCACTTTTTCTCTCCATATTTTGTTTAATACCTTTAATTAGAAAAGTTTTCACTTACTTTCATGCAAATGTTTGCTTCCCTTGGGTGTTTACAACCAGGTATTATACTTATAATTGGTGGGAAGTAGTTGAGACTTGATGCATCCTCTGCATGAAGTGTTTTGTTTTATGCCCAGTAATATATATTTTTTAAATTTTTCTGAAGTGTTAAGTGTGTAGTCAAAGGTGGATTTGTGAAAGCTTTATTTGAAAGAAAAAAAATCAAAATAGCCTTTTTTGTTATCATTTTCGTTCCACTGACAAAAAATAATTGCAGTTTATTCAAAAAGGCAATTATATCGCAAAATCAATTTAAAAAAATTTTAATATACTCAGTGATAGTTTTCTTAAAACCAAAATTACTAGAAGCAAAAATTATCACAAAACTTTTATTTTTAGTTGAAACTTGATGATGAGTTTATGCATTAAAATAGTAAACGAAGTTAAAAATGATGTAACTGATATATTAATAACATGAATCATTAGCAATTACAATCAATAATTTCACTTTTTTTCAAATATGTATTAAAAATCAGTTAAAATAAGTTTTATTTATTTTTTGCTTGCTTTTCTTCCAGGTTAATTCTGATTGGAAAAAATGGGTACAGTATACGAATTCTGATTCCAGTAAAGAAGGAATAATTCCATCTGCACCAACAATTTCATCAGAAGCTCTAGAACTGAGGCAACTTGCCACAGATCATTTCAATCAACGTCAGTACTTCATACAGAAAGCAAAAGATGCTTTCCACAGAGGAATGTCGGAAGTTGCTTCTTTTTATTCTCAAAGGGTAGGAACTATTTCACTAATTCTTATTATTTATGAAGACGAAGAGAAAATTTAAAACTTCGTATGTGACTTGTCGAGTGTGTCGATCTACGAAATAAATGTCCGAATGAAAATTTTAAGTGCCCAAACATCTTTAGCGCATTTGATTAATAAAATAATACATTAATGTACTTTATGCAGGATTTGTAGTTCTCCTGATTTTCCTGATACAAAATATTCTGTCCTTATTTGCCTTGATTTTTAATGTTTTGCTTAATATTCCTGTTTGTTTCTTTTTTGGTGGATAGGTTACATTAGAGATGTAACTTTTCAGACGATGCCATTATATTTAGATAATGATATAGCGAGTTAAAACTCGACACTGCTACAACATAAATTAACTACCCTCTATTATAAATTTATAACCTTATACCAACTGTGAACTTTTAAAGTCTTTAAAAAGAAAAAAAAAAACAAATTTTATAAAATGCATCAAGTGATTTATGGAAGTGGATGATAAGATTTTATGATAAGCATTATTTTTTAATCGTTAGTTTATTCTTTAAAAAAAGTTTGAAAAGCGGAATCAAATGATTTTTTCATTATCTTAACTAGCTGTGTTCATTTACGTAAGCACACATTTTGATCTGTGTTCATTTTCTTAAACATGCATTTCGAGCCGCTCTATATTAAAGACTCTTTGTGGATTTTTTAAAATTTTATTTTGAATTATAAAGTTTAAAATTTTGCTTTTATATGTCTTTAACTTTTATTAATGTTGTAAATTTGTAACTTTTTTTTAACTTTAAATGCAAGAAATTTGTTTGATTATAAAATTTATTTTCTGATAATCATGATTAAACTATAGGTTCTAGGATATTTTGTATTATTATTAATTTTTTTAAATATTTTAGGGTAGTGAACATCAACAAAAATTCAAAGAGATAAATAAAATGGCTTCCAAATTAATTTCTGAGCAGAGGTAAGAATTTTTAATCTTGTTGTTTCCTAACATAAAATTAATTGTAAATTTTGTCATATTTTATTTAGTACAAAAGTATTTTTTGTATTATTGTTGTATTAGTATTAGTATTTTATTATTTATTGTTGTTGTTGTGTTCTGATTTATCCTCCAAATGTCTGACGAAGTCAGACAAGGTCCATCAGACCGTTGACCCTAAGGAAATCGAGGACTAGAGAGGGTGATGAGTATATGTCCTCTCTGGAAAGTCCCAAACCGTTCAGGATGTGTTTGGGAGAAGCTTGCTTAGTTTTATTTCAATTAATATATTAACATTATTAGTATTTATATTAATAATGCTTATTAAAGAAGCTTTTATTAAGTATTGATTCAAATGTTTCTTTTCATTTGTTGTAGGAATGATTCTTTATCTGCACGTGTTCTTGATTTGCATGGATTGTACGTACAGGAAGCAATACCTCTTCTTGATAAATTCATTCGTAATTGGAAACAAGCAATGCAAAGTCCACAGCAAGCAATTCCTCAATCTATTTCTGTTATAACTGGTCAAGGATTGCACAGCGAAAGAGGGGCAAAATTGAGACCATCTGTTATGGAGTTCTTGAAAAAGACTGGTTTGGGGTTAGTTAAAATTACCTTGCTTACAGATTGATAATATAATTTACAGGAATGTGCGAACACTTATTGCAGAAAATTTTTTACTTTTACTAAAAATAATTTTAAAAATCCGCCTCTTTAACGGAAGTTTATCTTTTTTGAATTCCTGAGGGAAAAAAATCGCTTTCACGCTTTTAACTACCAATGCAAATGAGATTTAAGGATTCACCAGGATTCCTATATACATAATTTAAGATAGCGCATCATGTTTTGTATTTTTTTTATTTATATCAAATATTGACTTTTCTATACACGTGGTTTAAATCTTATATGGTAAAAGGGCCGTTTTGATTTCTTGATTTTTTTGCATATAATTTCATGAATTTCAGCTACATTAAGAGAAACAAAGTATTCTATCCTAACCCATTTAAAAATTACCTTTTTGTTGTAGTTTTCATTGAAAATACTGTTAATTTCATAAAACTTTTTTGCTGTTTTATTTAAATTATTTACTCTTCTAGAATTTTAACAAAAATATTTTGAAAATTTGTCTTTAGAATTTGATATTTAAATTTCTTTTGGAATATTATATGTCACTAAAAATTTAACTCTCTCTTTCTTTCTGTTAACAACAATAAATGTAACCAAGCAATACTGTATATAAAATTTTAAAAAATTATGTTTGTGAGAGTTAATTTAGTATTTTCTGAGAAAAGTTGCATTTCTGTTTGCTATTTTTAAGTGAGTTAGGATGAGAAAATGAAATCTCATTACTTTTTAAACTCGATTGCCAAGTACATCATATTTTGTTTTTGTTACTTACAATTTACAAAGCTTCCTGTTAAGTTGTGATCCGTATAAAAGCATAAAAAAAAAATTGGAATTGCATAAAAAAAAATATGCCGATTTTACCCGGAGCTTATTCATATCAACTGTTGAACTGTTGCCTGTTTTATACCTTAAAAAATATTACAAAGCGTATAATACATAAATATTTTTCTTACCCTCAATGTATCAATGCCAAGTTCTTTAATATTATTATTATTTAAAAAAAATCATTTATAATGGAATAACTCAACATAAATATATCCATATAAATAATCAAACGAATTGTACTTTTGAATTATTTTATTCTTCAACATACAGATTCTTTATTTGTCACATATGTGTTTAAACTGTGATTGTAACTGTGACGTTATTGA